ACATTGAAACTTAACTTATTGATGTGCTTTTAAGATCAATAGCAGCACCCACCAGATTAAACTCAGCAAGTCAGCTTAAAAGTCAAAAAGTCTTGCTGATGATAGAGTAAAAAAAAAAAAATGGAGATAGCATGGCCTTCCATGGTAGAAGGTTTAAGATTTTTCTTTTTGCACTGCTCAATATTCCTCTGATAATATTTGAACTTTTGTTATATAATGCATCTTTTTAAAGGTTCATGTGTACTAAATATGTCTTTCTGTTATGGAAGTACCTTTTTTCTTCACCTTGAAGTACATGAGTTAAGTGAAGCTAAAGCTTCTTAGTCAATAGTCATATATAAAGGTCCTAGTCAGATGGTATACCTGAATGCATTCTATTGACAACAGCTATATAGGGAAATCTGAAACAGGTTTTTTTATTCCTTTTTGCTTCTCCATGGCTAGGGAGCGTTCTTTATTGTGCACTAGATTTCCCTGGCATTTAAGTGAAAGGTTCATATTGCAATCTTGTGCAAACCTACCTAAACATGTTTCCTTCTGTAACAAAACTTTCTATATCTATAGTTAAAATATACAAGTTAGGAAAACAAATATTGTAAGCATCACTACAAGTGGTAAACAATTAATTGTGGGAATTAAGGCTTATATAGAAATTTTTATAGGGGGGGGGAAGCATTGTTTCTTGTGATTAGAGAATTAATTGCATTCTTTCCCGTCAATCTTGTATGCTTATACTAACTGAAATTCAGATTTTGAATGTAAATGTACAATGCACATATATCAAAGTGATTCAGAAATCTATGATTGTTTTCCTAATTAAAATCTGAATTACATGAAAATAACATTTTAAAGATTTATGTATGCTGTTGATCCTTAAAGATAGTTCATAGAGATGAACTGTGACAAAAATAAGTAAGGCACAAGGACGTTATTCTTAAATATGTGCAATTTCTAATGAAGTAAATATAATATTTAAATGTTACAATAAAGATGAATAATTGACCAAAATTTTAGAAAAGTTAAAGTACAATATATATTGAATATAAAGTGTATAAAGTAGCAATCACCTAATTGTAGAAATACAGAGGTATTGCTCTTTTTAAAATTAAAACTGATATCAAAATAATTCTGTATTCAGGGAATTAAGTTACTCTGTTTCTTATATACCTGGAAGACTATCATTCATTAAGCGGCAATCCTATCATGAAAAAAAATGTTATGATAATTCTTTCATTTTACAATATATTTAAATATTGCAAAGTGTGACTCTAGAGAACAGAGCTAGTTTAGATAATTGAAATCTATTAAATTTTTGTTCAAGAGAATTTTTTGGGGAACATGACCTATGGCGGCTCAGTTCAAAACACTACAATAATAGTAAATTTGTAGGATTTATGATTATTGAAGTGTAACAAAAATCATCAATGTCAGGTGAGGCATTTATACTTATGAGACAATATTTTTTAAAAAATATTGTAACAATTTCCTTGCACCAAGGGAAAAAATTAATTAATTTCATAGGGAAATATTAACATTGGAGATTGAATATAAAGAATATTATTATAGAGCAAATTAACAAGTTGTTTTTCATTATGTTAAGGGCATTTCAAGTAATACAAGATGTCTATAAAGAAATTATTTCTATGAAAACCATACAACTAAATATGGGTGGCCACATTAGTACATTTTGCTTTATTTATGTCAGTGCCTTAGGCATCCTAAAATGTGCTCACTATATACACATGCAGTGAAATACATTTTTGTACAATTCTTACATCCCGCCATCCATTCATGTTGAACAGTATCCAGATAAGGTTCTAAGTTTAAACAATATACCATAGGGTGGTGTGATCTGAATGCATATATCTTGTTTTATCCAAATGGTGTCACTCTCAATTAAATGTATGGATAAGGTATCAGCTTCAGCAGAGAATCCTTAGTATAACTTCTGTGTGTTTTAAATATTGTAAGGATTTTTGCTGTTCCTAAAATGCTTGGTGTCTTATACACTGAACTGGAGATAATTGGTATGTGTTGGTTTACTTCTTAATACTAACAAACCTAATTAGAACAATTATTTATTTAATAGCAATGTGTCATTAAATGTAGTTAACTGGCCAGGAAGCTGTAACACATGCTGCTTTGTTAGTTTCATCGGTGTCATCTCAACAGTCCCTTTCTGGAGTGTGTTTATGACTGCTGTATACCATGATGTGACTTTTGTAGGGTGAGTTTTTTCTGATGCCATCCCCTGCAGTTGTTGAGAATTTTTCTTCTCTCTGTTTAGATGCTGCTTGGGAAGAAAAGATTTGGATGTATTAGCTAGTCAGCCTAATAACCCTGTGCAGACTGTATTGATTTTCTAGGAGAGAGTTTATGAACTAAATAAACTTGGAGTTGGTGTCTTAATAAACTGCTTCTCTCTGACTGTCACATTTAGTTACAGAGCTGTGCCGTTTAGGGGGGAAAAAGGCTAATTCTGTTACAGATTGTTCACAGC